TTTACATAGGATAAGTTTCATTTTGTGAAATACAATGCAAGACAATTTTTCGAATATTGTGAGGATGGGTGTCACGCGCACGCCTTGATCATCACGATGATAGAATAGAAACATATAGTTTATTTTACTTTTGAACGAGGTGAAGGATCATCAATAGAGACGGAAGATGAAAGATCGATATCAACCATTTCACGAAGAAAGGCAATTGAATAGCCGCTTTGCATTTCCTCAACTGATATTTCGAATTAGAAAGAGCCTAAAATGATAGAAGTTGAAAGTCAACATGAGATTATAGTTTCAAAGAATCGAAATAGTATAGCATATAATATTCAGCTTTAAGATACCACAATCTATGATTCATCTGTGAATAAATTCCAAATTAATTCGTTATCTGTTGCTTATGTAAAAGCAGGATAGATATTTTATGAAAAACAATTCGAAGAAAGTGTTCAAGTACAGAGCAAAAAACTTTGGACCCATCCTCTCCCTATAGGACGTGATAAACACCTTAGTTACAATGTGTCTTGCATCACCGACTGTGGTGGACATCATAGCAATGGCGTATTTTATATTACAAATCGTCACAAATATGTTAGCAAGGCGTGGTTGTCATCACCGACTGTGATAAAGAACATAACTTACCGAGAAGATATCTTCCTTTCCTGTTCTTTAGATTGATTTATTTTTGACTGCTTGCAGGAATCCCAATTTAAGTCCAGAATCAGAACAAGCATTCTAGCAGCACCGATCATTGCCACTACCAGTATTCTCTCATTCAGTCACAAACTTGACGTGTTTGTAAAGGTTTTTCGACATCTCAATAATTTTTAAATACTTAGGAATCCATATTTCTCTTTCTCATCAAGTGACGTCTTTCAGGATAATAAGCTCTTTCATGTTTCACATTTCAATCTCGTAGATATTGTGCAGAAAACTTTTTGTTATAGGAAAGAACTTTAATACAAGTCATTTAAATGTTCATTATATTTCATAATTTTTCAAATTATATTACAAATAGTTTCTAAGATCGAAGGACGTAACCTTAGAAAAGTCATTTTTTAATGTCCTTCAACCCGAATGAGTCAAAGATGACCCAGTCGAAAGTAAATGGTTATAGTTCTGCACTTTGATACGGCAACTCATGGTATTTGTCTAAAAACTACTCACCCTCAAAAAACAATGTTAACATCTTGTAACAAGTGACATTGAAGCCAAACTTCAATTTGTTTCTTTGATCTTCATCAAAAAGACTTAAAGATCTGGTAACAGTTGGCTTCGTCATATGCCGACTAATAATTATTGTTTATTCTTATTCAACTATAAAACTAATTATTATCGAAATCTTTTTGTTATTTATTTTATTAATCTATTCAGAACAAAAACAAGATGACAACACAGGAAAATAATCATAAAGATCTTTTGAATGCGCTAATGCTTTTATAATAATTAATTGTTTCACTTTAGCACAATTGAGCCGTGTTGTATTTCTTGTAAAGTTTTCTGTCACGATTGTTAATTGATTGTAATCGACTATCAATTCGGTAAGACGAGGTAGATGTGTTTTTGTTTCATTGAGAAACTGCTCGACATAATCAATATGACAATATCGAACAGAAAGCGAAGTAAGATGATGATATTCAGCAATAGAATGCATCTGATTATCGTTTGAGTTTAGATTATTTGATATGTGTGACTGAGATTCGAAATTCATAACAACCAACTCTTTCAGTAGAGGAAAACAATGAGCAATACGGAGAAAAAATTCATGTTCGAATGGAACTAAATCGTACACTCCCAAGTGTATAACATGAGTAAAAACAATAGGTGGAAATATATTGCCAATATGTTGGAGATCATCAAACGCGAACGGTAGCGAAAAAATACGACATGTTGCATTATCAAAGCTATAAGTTAGATAACAGCATACTTGTTCATATCCTATGTTAGTAAAAGTTTGCTGAATATCATCGTTCGATAATTGAACTAAGTGTTGCCGTGTAACATTGGTACTAATATGAAAGGTAAATTTATACAGTTGTGGTAGATGAACGAGAATTTCATTATTAATTTGAGTACCATCGACAAATCTAGTTCGATGCTCGATTTGAATATTCAAAGTTAATTCTTTAAGATTTGATATACGACGAATAAGAGGTACAATTTGAGTGTCATATTTTTTAGTCGTGCAATGGCACTTCAAAGAAAAGTATTTCAAATTCGGCAAACTATCCTAGAAATAAAGTTTGTGAAAAGTAATTATTAACATAATCAATATTATGTTTTGGACTTGAAAAAAATAATATCTAAACTTACCTTCTTGTAATTAATTGATGTACGATAATCGTGATTCTCAATAGTAACAATGAACGTAGTTAATTGTTTGAGACGACCATCAAGTAAAGCAAGACAATCTTCAAAACGATTCACATGAACACATAATTTGCAAATTGTTGAAGAAGAATAGGCAGTCAAAGGTAAATTACGAAGAGATAAAAGTTTAATAAATCCAATATCAGACACATCATTTGAGTATTCCCACTTCAGTAAAATGCGATTATCGTATTTGTACAGAAAAATAAGATCTGTAATTTGCTCTTGAATAATACGTCGAAATGGAGATTCATCTAAATAAAAACAATTATATATTTTTTTTACACCATCTACAAATGTTTCTATTGAAGTCAATGTTGACATCAAAACAAGATCTTTTTACTTGTAAAATAGCGTGAAATAGTGTTGTTATTAACATTGTACAGTCTAAGTTCACTTAGATTAGGAAAATCGGCAGCAAGAATACGTTCCATGGATTCCGAATGAAGAGTAAGAGATTTAACATTGTAATCAATTTTTGGCAATATATCTATGCAGAATCGATCAAGCATTGAGCCAATAATTGGCATAAGATCATCAGTTGTCGTTCTTAATACAAAATTGAGAGACTTTGTAAACGTTTTGTCTAATACTATGGTGTCAAGTCGTTGATTATCAATACCCAGCAATGAATAGAGAACATCCATATTATCAAGTTTCTTTAAGATAATATGTAATATTTCAATAGGTAAGTCAAGAAGAGTGACAGTTGATTGATTCATGTTAATTTAAACTAATACTTCTTCCGACAATACATATATATGGATATATTCATCGTTGTTTCTTTTTTGCTCTCGTTGCCGTCTTGGAGAAAACGAATGGATGACTTCGCCGGAAAAAATATGACGTTGATAAATTGTCCAATAAATGTATAGTTGAACTTTTTTTTTCTTTTTATCTCGACTATTATTATCATTGCTAGTCTATCTCCTCATTCATACGTCATCGAGAGAAGTGCATTCCAAAGAAAAAAAAGGAAGAAAATATTTATCACACCGAAAATGTCTCGGATCTTATACACCAATATCCGGTATAATGAGCAAAGATTGTATTTTTGTGCATGTGATAGAAAATAGGATAGGATATGAATGAGAAGAGTATAATATAATTATTTATTTTCTTATCGATCGTCTCTTTCAATTTTATTTAACCTTCTCATTCTCAAATCAATATCAAATGAGACCATTTGTCTTTTTAATATTTTTAATGCTTTGTTTTTTTTTCTGTACTGTAAATACTGAATAAACATATGTAAACTCTTTTATTTTATTGAATCTCGTTCTATTGAAAGGTCTAATCAAGATTGACAAATATAATGATGCTAGAGAAAATTTCTATAGTTGATTCAATATTAGATTTTTCAGTGAAGATCTATGATTTCATGAAATAGTATGAATCCAATACAACCTGTATGTTTGTCCAAAGCCAATGTATTTGACAAATAGAGATCAATGCAATTGTTTATTGTAGAAGATGGCACGTGATCAAAATTTAGCTAACTGTAATTGAGTCAATATTTTAACGCACTTACATTGTAGGTATGCCACTATGGATATCAGAAACGAGAGAAAATCAGTATTTCAATAACCTTCATCATCTAATCTAAATTGGTCTAGTCGAAAAAAACATTTAAAAGATTTCATACAATTCATTTGATTTGCTTGAGTTAATTCAAATCTAGTTATTGCAACTTGATCTTTTTTAATATAAAGAGGATATTTTTGAATCTTTTTTCCTATCTTTGAATCAATTAATACTATTAATTTTATCAATTGAACTTCAACTGTTACCCTATGAATCTAAAGCATAGCAGAATAAATTACTAATTTATGTTCGAGTATCATTATCCTTTTTGTAAGAAGAATTAAAATAATTTATTAGCTATTCTACCAATTTACTTATGCATCAGATACTCTTCCAATATCACATGAATCTTGTTAAGCATCACAAAGAATAAATTTCGGAGAGATGCCTACATAAATTCAAATTGATCAACAAATAACATTTTATGAATCAACTAAACTAACTTCTTTCACTTTCTGTAGTTTCAGTCGAACATTTTCTCGACAAACGCATGAATCTGTTTCGATTTCTTCATGATAGATACTTTGTCAGTTCGGGTGGTATGTGCGCTGAGCTCGATGACTCATCGAATCAATAGCAAATCTTCACGGATTGGTGCTTGCATTTTTGACATCGGCCCGATATAAGTTTGATCACATATTGTAGAGAAAATTTTTCTCTATCGAACTGTGTTCTTGGTTTTTTTTTTAAAAATGGCAAGTAATGAGACTTAACTCAATAAAAGAAAATACACCA